TTTAATATATCGCTAATAATTTTCTAAGAAAAAATAACAATGAGAGAAAATGATAATTTAAATTATTTATTATTAATGAAAATTTTAAGGTTTTTAGGTTATAAATAAAAATTATTGGCATCTTTCCTCATCATTTGTTTTCTTTTTAAAAATTCTATAAATTAGTTGATTAATAAAAAATTATTATATTTTATTTTATTTTTTTATATTTTATTTTTTTATTTTTTTAAAAAATAACATTAATCGAAATTTATAAAGAAGATAATGAATGAAAAAATTCATAAAAATTTACAGAAATCAATGTGAATACCATTTATAATTTGAAATAATTTTTTTCTCATTTTTATAGAATTTTTATTGAAATTAACAGTCAATTAATGATTCGATAAAATTTCTTTCTCGAATTGATGGTTGAAATTTAAGGATTGTTGATTAATTCATGAGATACACAATATTATAACACATTAATGTTCTTCGTTCATGATTTGATTTTTTTTCTTACAACACCCACTAATGGTAATTTGATTGACTAACCATATTGACAGTTCGAGTGGAGCAATTTAGATAATCTTAAGTTGCTTGTAGATAGAGGAAATAAGAGTTGAGCACCTTAAATGCTACAGGAAGGGCGAGTTGAGCACCTAAGAACTACAGGAACGGAGAGTCGAGTACCCTAAATGCTAGATTTAATGGTAAGTTTATGCACATCGACCTCCTGCTGCTTAATCTCAGCCAATATCTTTCTTTTTTAAATATCTTGCTTTATTTATTATTGAGTTGAAAGCTTAATCATAATTCTTTCAACGATAAATAAATAAATTATCAAATGATATTTAATTTAACATTCCTTAAGTGGACATAGGAGTATATTTGTACGGTATTAAGTGCTCCTATTATTCTTTCCTTATTTTTTCGTTTAACTAATTTGCCTTATACGTGAAATTTCACTCGTGGATCAATCCTTATTATAAATCTTCTATAATCTTATATTTATATAAACAAAAGCGATTGTTCATGCTAAATTTCTTATTGTTGCTCATTAAAGATCCATCAATAGAGATATAGAATTTCGCATAAAAAACATCACTATCATTGTCATTATCGTTGCTCAAGTACCATTCAGTCAGGAGATTCTGGGTATAAAACTAAAAAATGACAAAAATTTATTATTTATTATTTATTAGCATAAAATAGCTTCATGTATTTCGCATATCAGTTCGCATAGATTCTTATCATTTTGTTCCTTTCTATTTCACATGATTTTTTATTTCTAATCATGATTTTTTAGACGTATAAAAAAGGAAGAAATAAGAATAGTTGAAGAATCTTATTCAATATTGTGATTCTGGAAATGAAGGCGTGCCTTATAAAGCATTTATTGTTGAAAAGAATCGAAACGATTAGCCTTTTCCTGATTATGCACAGTTGATTCCACCTCGTTTAGAATTTCTCCTTAACTTTCAGGTCTCTTAATACCTGAAAAGTAATTTTATCTGCCTAAATATCTCTTTTTTTCGACGAACTTTGCATATTTTTAATTCGTTTCATAAAACTCACTTTCTCACTTTTCTTTTAATAATACTTATTCACCGCATATAAGCTAAATAATAAAAATACTTTTTAAAATTTAAGTTAAAAAAGAGCAAATTGATAAATGAATTCATAATATGACAAGAACCACGATATCTTAGCATTTGAATTTTTTTTTTTGTAAATTCTTCTATTTTTATGATTTCTGATAATTTCTATTTCTTTTTTATTAAATCATTAGATTTGATAGTGATTATGCGTTTTATAAGTTTACATGGATAGTCTATTATAAAAAAAATCTATGAAATTTTATTTATTTATTGAAAGGAGAATAATAAATAGAGTTATCATGCGCTCGTTTTGATGTTGGTAAAATCTTATCAGTTTTTTATCAATTATTCAATTATTTATCAGTTTTTTATCAATTATTCAAAACACCGCTTAAATCAAACATTTCTTTTTCATACTTTCAAAAATTTTTTTTAAAAACGAATGCAAAAAATTGACTCAGTTAATTCAGCTGATTATAATTAATTCTAATAATTTAAAATAAATAGATAGTTAGCATTCAACAATTGTTTCAACAGTTCTACTCAGGTTAGCTCCACTAACTTTTAACAATAATAATTTTGCCAGAAAAAGAAATATAATTCTTAGTATCGGCTGCTTTTTTCAATAGCAGATTTATTCCAACGGCATTGCAAAACGTCGAAATATAGTCAATGCATCTTTGAAATTGCGAATATTGTGTTGTCAAAGGCCTATAGTATAGCCAATCTGCATCGTCGGTCCAAAACTCTGATAAAAAATGGTTCTAACGATAGATTTCGAAAATCTATTTTTCTTATAGAAAAAATATTTTAAGCTATTCCCGCCCAGTAGAACGGATTCATTTGCTGCTTCAAAGTTTAGCATTTCTGTTCAAAAACAATTCGTTTATTATTAAAACTTAAGAATTTGAAAAAATTTTTTTTTTGGTACTCGAAATACTTTTCTCCATTTGTTCTGCTATCTTTGATTATTTGGTACCATTCATTATATTTGCTGATAATGTGAAAAATAATACTTTATTGAAATTTAAAGAACTTTAATGAGCTTTGATAACTAGTAATATTTAATAGATTTGTTGCGATTAAACTTCAGAATATTTTTATAAAGTAGAGAGCAGAACTACTTGAAATGCGAACTATTATTAAAGAATTATTTTAAATTTTAAAATTTTTCTCAACAGTTGTTGAAATATATATATTAAAAAATCAATCCATTAAAATAGGCATAAATAAATGAATAAAACCATTATTATTTGTTATTTTAGCAAAATACTAAGATGGTTGAAATTTATCTACTAGAAGACTTATTTTCTATTTCCCTTTCCCCTCATATAACTAGAAGAAATCCCGCTGTACGATTCACTTTTTCCATTCATAGACAAAATCGACAGGTCTTGTAAATTATTTTTCTTCTCTTTTTATTCAAACTGTTCACAATAAACAATCGACTCATCAAACGATAAAATTTCTTACATTGGTTGGAGCTAAACATTTCGCTAAATATTTTTAGTTAAATATCTATTTTTTTTTAATAATTGTCTATAATTTAATAAAAATATATTATTTCTGAAATTTGAAAGTAAAGACAGCTTGTGATCCGATTCCTTTAATATAATGGAAATTCTAGCGCTAGGTTTATTATTGTTTTACCTATAGTTCTATTCACAAATCACTCTTTAGCGAAACACTTTAATCCTATCAATCGTAGAGGAGAGCCACAATAAACTATCAATAGGAGTGATAATTGTTTAAATTGGTTAGATTTTGGGAGTTAACTGCTAATTATCATCGGATTTCTTTGAAGTCTTTTTTATAAACCTTTTTTTTTCTTTTCTACCTAAAGTTATCACAACAATATATAAAAATATTTGATCGCAATTAGTATAATAAAAAAATCAAATTAAATTTATTTTCAGGTTTATTTAAAATTTTAAAAAACTATTAAAGAAAAAATAGAAAATACAAATAAAAAACATTGAAATGAAAATAATGAAATGGTTGTTATGAATAATAATTATTGGATGAATTATGATGGTTATTTTGCTAATTTTTATATTTGCTTTTATTTTTGTCAACGATGTTACAGGTTTGTCAGTTCAATTCATTCATTTTGTTTAAATATATAAATATAGTTTCATTTTTTATTTCTGTGAACGTTCACCATTTTTTTAATAAGATTCCCATCAAATTTTCACAGAAAATCATTGGCGATAAAAGTATGGTCGACAATAGTATTACTTAAGAGTTTTTCAAAAATAATTTTAAGTTTATTTCTGTCGAGAATAGAATAATAATGTAATGAGAGAAACAATAACTTATCCTATCACCATTATCACCGTTCTATATTTGTGTAATATACCAACTATATTAAGAAGCTATCAGCCTTTAACCACTCATGTCCAAGATATAAGATATATTTTACGGATCCGTCGAGCGAATAAAATCTCACATAATTATATCCACCTTGGTTCATATACCACCTATATTAATAATGTTATCATAGAGCGTCGCCTTCGTGGTTGGTTAGGGTATTCTCCGTTGTCCATCACAGGAGTTGACGCATATTTACTATTTGCCGTATCTTATGATGGATGGCGTCAAAAGCGAGGTGGGCCAATCGAGAGTCAGCAAAGATTTTGAACGTATAGGGAGACCAGCTATAAATGAACTTAGACGATGGAAAAAGGAATGGCTTCTATAGCGATGAGATCGCACCGAGCAGCTTGTCTTATTGCTATGGCTAGCGGAGAGAGCGTAAGAAGTAATGGTGAAAACTGTTAGAAGAAATAGAACCATCTTTACTTTAATAAGGTGTCGCACAATTTTTATTGTTAATAATTGATTTGATATTTGAGATTCAGGTGGCTTAGAGATATAAAAATAGCGTTACTGAAAATAATTAAAGCTCGGCAAAATCTAATTCATAATTTTTTAAATGAAAACATTCAAATAGTGCTTTCTATTTTCAATAAGAACTAATCGTGAATGAATTTAAATCTCCATTAAACTCGCAAATATTTTTTTCACATCATAAAGCTTATAAAAATAAAATATTATAAAAAAAGCCCAAGAAATGCATATTAAATTAAATGTGAATCAGATGTTTTTTCAAATCAAATATTTGAGATTTCAATGAGGGAAAACTTTTACAAACTTTAATTATACTTTCGAAAGCTAATTGTTATATATTTCGGTATGAGATTTTTGCATTAAAACTGAAATAGCATTATTATCTATGATGAGCAGAATTTATGAATTTTTTGTATTTATACAGGTCCAATGTAAAATGGCTTCGTGGGCTGTCGCACAATTTGGAGCATAAAGGTTGAGGTTTTATTCCCCACAGGAATAAGCCTGTCGGAAAATCCGGGTGATGCTGGCGACTGGCGATACTTCTATCGCTAAGAGATTCCCTTGACCCAATGCGGAACAAGTTTAACCAGTAATAGTGATGACTCCTAAAAAAAAATAAAGAGCTGTTTCATTTTCAATTTCCATTCGTACGCAAATGCCGGCAAGAAAAAAAATTTTATTCTAAAAATTAATAAATAAATTAATAAATGTAAAAAAATAAAATAATATAATTGAAATTTTTATGAGATATATATATATATATGATATATGATATATTTAGCACCATTCAAATGCTATAGTTGTATGTCTCGTTATTATGGAGCTACGTGGCAGTTTGCTGGATACAGTCGGATTTATATGGAACCTCGTTCATTTACAGACTATTGCAGCAACCCAAATATTAGAGGCGCAGACGTTCCATTTGTCTTTTGTGATGGTTCCACTAATTGCATTTCGATCGAGGAGAATCTCAAAATTGGTAAATTTTATTTTCAAATTTTAATTTAAACGATCAGTTCCTTCTATCATTATTGTCATCTTCATTATTATTATTGCCATTATCATTTATATTATTAATATTATATTTATTATATATATTTATATATTGTATTATTATATTTTATATTATTATATTATTATAATAATTATTTTATATATTATTATATTATATTATTTTATATTATATTATTATATATTATATTCCTATATATTATATTATTATATATTATATTACTATATATTATATTATTATATATTATATTATTATATATTATGTTATTATATATTATATTATTATATATTATACTATTATATATTATTATACATTATTATATATTATATTATTATATATTATATTATATTTTATACAAAACCAGTTCAGTTTGCATTTTATTTTTTTTTATTAATTATTAATTATTAGCTGATTTTAAAAATTTTACTTCTCCGCATGGTATTGAATTTACGGATACTTTAGCAACTTTAAATTTGAATTTGAAAACTTTGAATTTTCTTTTTTTTTTCATTTTATTCATTTTGAGTTCGTCTTGAATTTGTGATAAATAATTAAATAATTCTTTTCGTATTAATTTATTAAAATACTTATCAATATCTATCAATATTCGTTAATGCGCCATGAATATATTATTCAATATCTTATCATAAATTATCAACAATATCATGAATATATCATTTAATATCGCGAACGACTCAAATAATTTTACAAAACTTTTTTTTCGATTATTTGTAACCAAATTCTATAAATATAAAAAGCAAAATTTTGGCGAAAATTTTTATCTAAGTTATTAATGCTTTAAAGTTTTTATGAAAATTTATTCATAAATTTGATTTTTTTTATTTTTTTGATTACAAATTTGGTTAAAAGTTAAAATTTGGTTAAATTGGTTTGGTTAAAAGTTGGATTTAAGAAAGATCCAAATGTCCAAATGCGAAAAATGCAAAAACTAAAGTTGATTGATACAAAATTGAATTTTATAATTTATAATAATAATTTATAAAAAAATTTCGGTTGTATTCGGTTCGGTTCGGTTCGGTTCGATTTTTAAGCAAATTTTAAGTTTTTTTTTGTTTGGAATCCAAATAAATCGAAGGATTTTCTGATTTCTAAGAAATTATTGAGGTATTCATTTAATGAATATTGTGCTCTTTATTTTTTCTAAGTGGCACTGCTGCAAATGTGCATCGATCTTTATAGTTGAAAAAAATAAAATTTTTTTTTTTTTTAGTAAAAATCGAATTTTTTTTCACAAAATTCCTATTATTTGTTATGAAAATATTTTACCAAATATTTTATAAAAAAACTAAATTTATGCAGAAAAGCAATGAGGAATTTATTTCATGGTGAATAATGAAATTTACAAGAATAAATTTATAATTTATTTATATTTGGACGATTAAAAAAAACCCGGTACTACTACTCTAGTAGCACTATAAATTGGAAGAATAGTTTGGTATACTTTAGTACCAGCGTATGTTAGAACTAAAACTAGCATTTCAGTACCACTATGGCTTAGTGCAATTCTAGTAAAGTTAGAAGAATAATTTTTAAAATGTTGCAGTTAAATTGAATTGAAAAGAATCGCAATTATGTTTCGTGGGAAATGTTTATGGGCAATAAGTAAAGTGCATAAATTGTTGTTATATATATATATTCTATTATTCTCACAAAATCTCGATTACCATCAATTTACTTAATATATATATGTATATATATCATATTTCTTAATTTTTCGTTATGGCAAATAACCAAGGATTATTAAAAATTTGAAATTATTAATAAATGAATAAATTTTTTTAATACACTAATAATTTTTTATTTTTACAATTATAATTGTAATTTTTTTCATAAAAATGCAGAACAATTTAATTTAAGTAATTATTATTCTTCTTCTTCTAAGCTCTCACCACTACTGGTTAGGCTGACTCTGCTGGCTACAAGAGTAAAACGTCTCCAAGCTGCTCGGTCCGACACCATCATTTTTACTAATAAAAGCCATTCCTTTTTCCATCGTTTAAGTCCATATATTGCTGATCCACCTATGCGTTCAAAATCTTTCCTGACCGTATCAATCCAAGTCTTGATTTGACGCCATTCACCACACGGTTTAGTAAGTAACGAAATATGCGACAACTCTTGTGGTGGATAATGGAGAACATGCCTTAATCATACCGAACATGCCGAAGGCGACGCTCTGTGATAACTTTATTAAAGGTATTTGAACGAAGATGCGATCATATGATATTTTATTCGCTCGACGGATCCGTAAAATATATTTTAGACAAGAGTGGTCAAAGGTAGGTGGCTTCTTAATATTCTCCACTCTCATTGGTCATGTCTCAGAGCCATATAGCAAGATCGAACGAATCACAGCTATATAGATGCGGACTTTCGTTTTTATGGTGATTTCACGACGACTCCATAAAGATTTCATCAACCGGATGATTGCATTTCTAAATGCCGTAATCCGACTTGTAATATCGCCTTTTGCCTGGTCATTTGGTATTAGAGTGGACCCAAGGTATCTAAAATCAGGCGCTTCCTCAACCGGCAATGAATTTACAAAAAGAGGCTTTTTATCAGCTCCTTGCACACAAGACGAAAAGACTTTCGTTTTATGTATATTGACCCTGACTCCTATTCTTGATGTAGTTTCTGGCTAATTATTAATAAATTATTAATTATTATTAATTATTAATAATAAATAAATTGTCAGATTGTTACGAATTTTTTTATTAAGAAAATTTCTATTCTATTTGAATTTCTATTTGAAAAATGATTTTTTTTCATTTTTATGGTAAAAATATTATTTGGCGCTTTTTTTTGAAAAATTTAATTATAAACCTACAGCAATGAATTGTCAAATAGTCAATAGTCGTACGATTTTTTGCTTTTGGCAAAAATAAACTCCAATAATGATGACTTAAGTGAGGAGATTAAATCGTCACATCGTGTAATCTATGTGGCTTAATATGCTAATAATAATATAAATTTGATAGTTGAGTAATAAGTTATTTCGATTTTGGTTATGGACCTAACTTCTATCTGTCGAACCTACTTGGTGATCAACCTGCATTTTTATCTACTTAAAAAAACCTTATCCTAATGGTTAGCGGAACCATGTAAGCCAGAAATGGAATATACTATTAGATTATGAAAAAATATTGCTTCGGCTTCAACTTCAGATGAAGCATGAATTTGATTTCTTCTCCTTGATGTGAATGAAAATGTCATTAGCAGTAAAATTTGCATGGATTACAAACAAATATTTTTATCCGTAAGTGAACCTCTGATAAATTTTGCATTGGTAACCAGTGGCAGAAATCAAGCAAGAACTGGTGAATAGTAGAAAATTAACTTAAACGAAAATTTGCTACTTTTTTAGATATTAATCAAATTTTTTAAGCTTCACGTTCTCATTATGCTAAGAAGTAAAGATCAAAGGAAATTTTTCAAAAAAAACTACATAATAACTGATAATGATGTGATATTTGTTGATAATAATGATATGATTCGTTGAATCAACTAACTATTCAATATTCAATATTATTCAACATGTTCTCATCATTTTTGGTTTGATTTCCACTAGATTTCCACTAGCTTATTGCATCATACAAATTTTCTTAGGCATTTTTTTAGGCAATTATTTGGAATAATATAGAAATACAAGGAATTTTTGAAAAAAGAATTTATTATTGTCGAAATCATAGTATTGGTGCTCCGTAAAATTAATACCAGCTGTTCTACTTATTCTACCCTAAACTATTTCATTTATGAATATTTCTATAACGTTTTCACGTATAGTTTTATAAATAGTGAATAGTGATCTTAGTGGAAAATGGACCATAGCAATTTGTTTCGTATTTGAATGGCAAAATATAACATTTGTTAGGATCAATATAATAATGCGTTATTTATTCAAGAGTTTTATGTTTATTATCTGTTGTTTCAACTAGCAATTTTCGGATGAAATTAGGAAAATATTATCTCATTTCCATATTCCAATAATCTCCATCCATTTTGCTTATTAATATGGGGGATTTTGTCTCAATATTATAATAATAATAATTAATAATAATAATATTAATATTCAAATTTTTGCAAATTCTATTTATCTTTATAGGATTAGAATTTTAAGAACTAATAAATGGCAATTTTTATCCCTCTAAAAAATGCTCTACGCTTAAATGCTCATCTATTATCATCTATTATTGAAAATTTCTCTGAATTTAAAAAATAAAATAATCATTTTTTGTATAATTTTTGAACTATTCATTCTATGTAGGTGAACAAATGATTGAAAGGTAAAAATTTTCATTCGTTATTCAAATGGCCAATTGTCAGTGAATTTTATAAAACTTCAGTCATAGAAAACAAACTTGATGATCAGTTGTCATTAAATGTCATTAATTGTTCGCAATATTTGAAGTAAATTATTTCATTATTACAACATATAACATTAAAATTTCTCTTTTACCTCTAATTTTTTTGATTAAAAATTTGACAGATTTTGACGAATACTAGCAATTAAAATATTAAAACGATATTTCATGAAATTTGTACTCAAAACAATTTCTTAAAACAAAAATATATTCCCAAATCACCATCGCTTGTCGTGTAAAATTTTTTTCAAAAATTTTTTATTCCATTCAAAATTTCATTTTTTTTCACAACTTTTTTTTCTTTGAATTTTTAAAACATTTCTTATAGGATTTCCCAAGAGATAAATGAATAGAAATGAAATAATTCATAGTGAAATATAATATGTTGATTTATATCTACAAAATGTTGAACTAATACTAAAAGAAAAAATGGAAAATTTTAAAATTTGAATTACAAAATAAAATTCAATTCAAATTCAAATAAAATTCAAATATATACATGAATTTTAATTTTATTTTATTTAATATTATATTTTATAATATTTTATATTATTAAAAATATTTTTTTTTAAAGAGTCCTCACCATTACTGGTCAAACTCGCTCCACTGGCTTGTCGCATTGGGCAACATGCCATGGAGTACCTTGGCGATAGAAATGCAGGTGAGTCGCCAGCATCACCCGGATTTTTGTACTCCTGCGGGGAATCGAACCTCAGCATCGGCGCTCTCGATTGAGCAACAACCCACTGAGCCATTCTATCCCTAAAAAATGAAAATATTATATTATAAATATTAAATATAAAGTATAAATGTAAAATATTACAAATATTAAAATTATTATATTGTAAAAAATATTTAGAAAACATTATTAACAAGAAAATAATATGATATTATTAAAAAAAAATAAAGCTCAGATATTCCATAAAAATTTTCCATTAAAATCATCAAATTATGCTGGTGAATTTCTACTAAAATGGAAAATTTAACAATTTTTCACCTTCTAAATTTTATTATTTTAAATTTTATTCATTGTATACTATTCGCGGATATAATTCTGCAAAGATAAATTATTTCATTGCGTCATTCAGAAAAATTTCTTCATATCATCCTATAACTTCTTAATGTTACCATTGCAATCTGATTTCTTTGCTAATATAAGTTGCAGATAAATTTTTAGATATTAGTAAATTAGTATTTTGCTTACCTTAGGGCAATAAAAAAAATCCATACCAAGAAAAAAAATTGACTGAAGAAGAAATGTGTCTATGTTTTTCGTAAGCCTGATAATTCCTAATAGATTAAAATTTATCGTGATATTCTCTTGTTTCCACCTAGAAACATTTTGTACAGAAGTATAGCAGTGTTTAATTTCCCGTTATTTGCTTCAATATCCACATTCCCGTCAGATTTTCCCTCTTTCGTTTTTTCATAATCTCTCTCTTGTGGACGATCAGCAAATCATTAGATATGGCAAATAAAATATATTACATTTATAAAATTACAAAAAGCAATTAAAATTAGATGTGATAATACGAAAAGAAGTATAAAAAAATTAAATGGAGAAAAGAAGGAAAATATTTAAACAAGGAAAAATAAAAAGAAAATACAAATAGCAAAATTTATTAAGGAATTTAAACAATAGAATTAGAATTTTTGCATAGTTTCAGAAGACAAAAAGAAATGATCAGACATGAAGAGATATTTTAAATATTATTATATTATTAATAAATACTAAATATATGTAGCATTATTGAAGAGCTATGATAAAACAATTAGGCTTAGAGGCACTAAAAAATACAAGTAAGAGTGCGTATGCCAAAGTGGACGTAAAGAGCTTCAAAGAAGCATTAAGAGTAGAATATAACGGAATTGTGGAGATAAGGAGCCACAAGTGAAGAGTTTTGGATCTTACGCAGAATTTAGAAAAGAGATTTAGATTTAAAAATTTAGAAATTTGAAGCTCTTATTGATAGATTAGGTGATTCTGAAGTAGTGTGATTAAGATAAACAGTGGTGTATCAAAAATAAGAAGTGATTTAACAAGTGCTGAATAAAATTTCAGCAAATTTAACAGTTGAAAATCCAGATGAAAATATAAAAAATAGTTTTAAAAAGGAATTAAAAACAATTTTTTGAACATATTACGGGAAAAGAGTACAGCGGTGTTCTGCTGAAATTAAGAAGATAAGATTTTAAGAAGAACGAAAAAATATGAAAGGGATTTGAGAAAATAACCGGCTGAAATTCATAGTTCGAGCTTTAATCTCTTTTTTTCCCGATATTTAGAATAGACGTATTAGAACTACCATAGCAAATTATTATATGGCAATCATGTTGCATTAGATAATCAATGATAAAAAGATAATATAAATATAAATTGATAATAATATAAATTGTAATAATAATAATATTATATAGTAATATAATAATATTATAATATTATAATAATATTATATTATTACTGTAATAATATAAATTGTAACTGCAGCAATGACTATAGAGTAAATTCGAAAATTTACATAAATTTTTGTCTTCTTTATTGTATTTACTGATTGTACTGATAAAATAACTCTTTTTCAACCACCACTGATTAAATTGGCTCTGGCCACAAGGCAACGAGTAAGATTTCCAGGCCTCGATTTGATGCCATACCTGAAAATAACAGAAACTCACGTTTTCTTCCGTCTAAGTCCATATATAGCACGCCAGTCTATACATTTAAAATCTCTATAATATCAGGTGTCAGGTTTTAATATCTCTCTTCGCTTTCACCACTATCCACCAGGTATTACCGAGTGAAATAAATATGCGTCAATTCTTCAGATTCGACTTGAAGAACATGATCTAATTAATGTAAATTTATTCAAGGAAAAGTGGCTGCAATCATGTCAGAACTGCTATACACTAGGTGATCACGCTTCCATTTCCCTTAGGAAAGAATCATGAAAATCTTCTTAATATTTTTTCATTGCCTTCCGCTCTCATTGGCCACATGTTGTAGCCCTATAGTAAGACTGTACACGCTACAGCCAGATAAGGACTTTCATTTAGATGATGAACATTTCTCACAAAGACCAAATACAATTGAGATAGAACAGAGCTACTTCTAGCTGCTTTTCGCTTGGCCATTATTAGAGTGGATCCAATATGAATTTGTTTATTGTTGAAGAAAAAAAAATGAGGCAGCTTTAACAGAGTGAGGCCAGCTTTCCATCATGCTACAGTCTTAACTTATTGCTTCTATTGATTATTTGAAATCAGGCACTTTTGATGATAATTATAAAAGCAGCGTTGCCTTCTTTATATAGTTCATGAGCCCGATTTTTGCTGCATTTATCGATACACTATCCAACATCTTTTGTATCTATTTCCTTATAACTATGAGCAAAAAAGGCTGAGGAATAATCTAACCTATTGCATAAATGAAGAAAAAAATATAAAATGAGGCAGCTTTAATAGAATGAGGCCAGCTTTGAAAATTCTTGCCATCATGTTAGACGAGCCTTACCTTAATGCCTCTATTGCGGATCCTATTATGGCTTTGCGAAGAATTTGTTATTGCCATCTACTCGAACAATCTTTTCCATATTCAAGGCCATATCATTTCAATTCCACCGTGCTTCACATCAAAATAATTAATAATGAAAATTCGACTGATTAAAATTTATTCAGTACAAATTTTTTAATTGAAATATCCTTTAAAAAAGGCAGTTTAAATCATCCTTTCAACTTATTCACTTTATACGATATTTACGATGATCCGATTTCAGGAATAGGCGCTCAAGGCTTTATACGCGGATGTTGGTCATCAATATTCCTATGGGGCTTTAATCGAACTGGCACAGTGGGAGCTTTACGAAATCGTGAATTCTGTTATAATTTTAATTTATCTCAGGTTATCGCTGGTGGAAAACCATTTGAGTCACAGCTTAGGTATTCTTATAGTTATTCTGAGAAATTTGAAAGTGCAATATTTGCTTAGCGATAAATATTGATACATCTTTCATCCTTTTTCTAAAAACCCTTTTGGCTGTCTTCATTACTTCTAAGGCGAGAATCCTTCATAACGGAATCATTTCGGAGTACCACATACCACATCACTCGAACTTTACTGACAAGGAACACAAATTTTTAATAATACATTTACATTACTTCAATAACGGCCAAATTGTCAAACCTATGATGCTTGACAACAGTTGAGAACCTACACTCGCCAGCTTCGGCATGACAATGATCGAGCAATTCGAAAATATTATATTCCTGATATCATTTTAATAATAGTCCATTGTTTTCAATAAGCACGCTGAAGATTACTCTTTTTACTTTTCCGATATTGCATATTGTAATTCCGACATTGTAATTTATTATTCGTTTTTCAGGATTTGTTCTTGTGGTGGCAATCTTTGTAATGGCAATTCATATTCGTCAAGTAATTTTTCTACGAAATGCATAATTCTTCTTTCTATCAATTATATGATATTTTCTTATATTTTTAGGATATAGAACTTGTTTTTTCGATAATTACAAAATGACATAAGAGTAAACGCGCTTTTCAAAAAATTTCAATTTTCAAGGACGATTATTATTCAGTTTTCCTTATGTCTGACTTCACAATTAATGATTATAATTCATGAAGCATGAAAATATAATCAAATTTGCCTTTTATGATCCCATATATTGAAATTAAATAGTAATGCGCTAAAAAATTTCGAAAATGACAAATCAAATATTTTTTGTTAGTGGTTCCACACTTCCACCAGAATTTCACCTTTACTAATATTACTACCGTCCAGGAACAATCAAACTTATGGCAGCAGTCGAACTTTTGCAGATGATCACTAGTAATAATATTAAACAGAGTATTTAGCAAAGATTTGCTAATAGTTTTTTTGCTCGTACATTTTTATCTTGTATAGGATAAAATTTTTTATTATTGATATAATTTCTTTGATCAATTTTATGATAAAATTCATCTAAAAGGATCGTTTATATTGCATTAAAAAATATTTGCTCTATTTTCCAACTTCTTATACATATCACTTAAAAGGTATTGATTATCTAAGAAGATTAATTGCAAAAGATACTACAATATATAAGTGATAAAGAGTGATATGAAATATCAGTTATAATTAAAGCGAAATTAATGAAATATCTTACAAATTTTGAATTATAATCTAATCCAAATTTTCTTCATGGAATTACAAACTGAATTTTAAAAATATCGACAAATCGAAAATGAAAAATTTAAAGAGATTCGATAAATGATAAGTAAAAAATTATGAAAATAAAAAGATAGGGAATTTTTCCTAATTTCCATTTTCTTATTGCACTTTTTTTATGCTTATCTTTTAAATTCGATGATCAATTAAAAAGCATAAAACACATGGCACATATCTTATCTTTTTTCCTAATTCAATAATCATATATTAAAATTAAATAATATTAAATAATATTAAAATAATATTATAAATAATAAATAAATAATATTAAAATTTATAATATTAAAATTAATTAATATTAAAATTATAAATAAATAATATTAAAATTTACAAAGAAAGAGAAAATGATTTGAAAGGACGATAACTTTTTTTGCTAATGTCATCGACAATTTATTTAATTTTCATCATTTCATACTCGTTATAATTTTTTTTTTTATTGTTAATATAATTTCTTACCCTCTTAAATTCCATTTTATATTCTTATAATACTCCTAAAAGTACTCCTAAAAGTCGTATTCACTTAAGTCAGTACTCTCTTTCAGTCAGAGTTTTTACTGCACCCCATTGCCCAAGTTTTTTTTTTTTACATAGCACATTACTTGGGAAATTTCATTTATCAGTTTAACAATTTATCAGTTTTATTTCTTTGTTTTGTTTCCTAATTTAATACTTTTCATCTTTCTTAAAATTCCATTTACATCTTTTGAAACTTCTTCAACATCATATGAAATCGCTTTTTCCAAATTTAAAATCTTTTTGTAATTTTCTAAATCTTTTTTCTAAATCTTTTTTAATAATTGTTTAATTAAATCACGATTCATTCGAATAAATAACTGAATGGATCTTGCGATCGTAAAAGAAATTCTTAATTAAGCAATTATTTCTCTTCTAGGTTCAAGTTTACTGTCCAATCATATTTCATATTGAGTAATTTTTTCTTTATCATTGTCAAAATTAGCCTCATGAGATGGAAAGAATCCTTCGAGATCAAACTTAACCATGAAGCGCTATCTGTTGCTCCTAATATAGTTGATACGTTCGCTGAACCATATGCTTGCAACTGCGAGCTCTCGACAGAAGAAGAAATAAGCTATCCATAAATCCTTAAGGCCAATAAGACTTCGGGAGAAGATGGTCTTCGGACTGAACTCTTTAAATGTTGTCCATCGTCTTTTATAACACACTTTTAACAAATGGAAAAAAGAAATATCAGATGATTACCAGATGATACCATTATCAGATGATTGGAGTAAAGCTCACGATTCTTAAGAAAGATTATAGGAGATAGTGCGACAATTATTTAGGAATTAGCCTACTAGTCCTTTCAGTGAAAATTTTTGCTTCCTTTTGCTCAATAGACTTATGGAAGTACGAGACAGCACGATGCTAATTAAACTGGATTCAGACTGGGGCGCGGTTGCTGACTAGATTTTCACGTAAAGAAGGGTGTTGGAACATCGCTTATTTACCCACTGTCACGTGTTTAACTTTGCTGCTGCCTTTGATTCAATTGATAGAACGGCGCTTTGGAGGATGATGGAAAGTGACGATGTTCCAGAAAAGATCATTCGACTCATAAAAGCATTTTATTAGCGTATGTCGGCAAAGGTCTCTATATGTGGAGAATGGGGAGAATCCTTTGAAATAAGAACTGGTGTCCGTCAGGGCTGCATCCTATTTCCTACAATATTCAACTATGCGATAGACTAGATAATGGGTATTGGCGCTCAAGAGGTGTGCAAATCAATCCAGATTATAGCACCACAGATCTTGAATATGCTGACAATGTAGTCCTTTTTGCTTACAGTTATGACGAAATGCAAATAATGCTAAATAACGTGTCAGCAACAAGAATCGGTCTCAGTGTAAATGTAAATAAAATGAAAATCTTTTCGTCTTTTGTGCAAGAAGCTGATATAATGCCTCTTTTTATAAATTCATTGCCTGTTGAGGAAGAAGTGCGCGATTTTAAATACCTTTGGTCCACTCTAATACCAAATGGCCAGGCAAAAGACGATATTATAACTCGAATCACGGCAGATAGAAATATGTTCTTCTGGTTGACGAGACCTTTATGGAGCCGTTGTGAAATCACCATAAAAACGAAAGTTTATATCTATATAGCCATGATTCGTTCGATCTTGCTATATGGCTCTGAGACTTGGCCAGTGAGAGTGGAGGATATTAAGAAGCTATTAGCCTTTGACCACTCATGTCTAAGGTACATTCTACGGATCCTCCGAGCAGATAAAAAACACATGTTGTATCCATCTTCCATCTTCGCTCAAATGCCATCTACATTAATAATGTTATCACAAAACGTTGCCTCCATTGGTTAGGACACGTTTTCCGTCGACTACCACAGGAGTTGACGCATATTTCGTTAACTATTAACTGTGTAAGCGAGGTGTGCCAATCGAGATCTGGACTAATACGATCAGAAAAGATTTTGAACGTATAGGTTGGCCAGCAATATACACGATGGAAAAAGGAATGGCTTCTATTACTGCCGACGATGGCATCAGACCGCGTTATTGAAAGCGTCTTACCCTAGTAGCCGTTGAAGTCAGCCTAACCAGTAATGGTGAGAGGTGTTAGAAGAAGAAGTCAAAAGTAGCTGCAAACTACAGCTTTGCAGATCAAAAATTTAGTCAAGCTATGTCTAATTCTTCTGCCTATGCTGCTGTAGAACGAGTGTTTTAATTTAACATTTAATCACATACATAAAAATTGTAACTTTCTAAATTAAACTTTCCTTTTCTTTTTAAAGCCTTTTCTGAACTTGATTGCCTATTCTTGATTTTTTCGTCAAAAAGGCTTTTCCGATCATTGGCATTTTATAATTCAAAGAGCATGCGAAAAAATATTTTCATTACTTATATAATCAATTTCTTATAATAATATTTAAAATATGATAAGGGATAGAATGGTTCAATGTGGGTTGTTGCTCAATTCGGTGTGCCGATACTGAGGCTCCATTCCTTGTTGAATCTCCGAAAATCGGAGTGATGCTGGTGACTTACCTGTACTTCTGTCGCCAAAGGTCTTCCTTGTTCAGTGCGACAAGCCAGCGGAGCAAGTTTAATCATTAATGGTGAGGACTGAGAAGAAAAAATATTTAAGATGATAGTATATAAATATGTTCGATTATAAACGATAATATATTTCATACTTTTACACGAAGTTTTTTTTTTCATTTGAAACCACGAAATCCAAATTTATAAAACTTGTTTTTTGTTAAAATGAAAATTTAATCACAAAATTAAATAATTTTTCATAGCTAAACGCAAATTTTAGATGAAATTTTCATTTTCTATTCTAACACATATTTGAATAGTTTCATATATTTAAATAATTTTATTCTTGATTCAATTAAATTATTTATTGAAAATTTATCTAAAAAGCGAAGGAGAATTAAGGAAAAGGGAAATATAAATTATCGTATTTGCGTCTCCCTTAGTTTTGCAATTGTTTAACAGTGATTGATATGATAAAATAAAAATAAAAAAATGCAGAAAAAATGAATATTATTTTATTATCATTAATAATAAAAAAAAAATTTTGCTGAATATTTAAGTCAAAAAAAGAAATTTTTTTTAACTTTTTAAAAAAATTTTTTTATAAATTTTTTTATGTTCGTGGACATTCGGGACCTCTTTCACCAGCTTTACACTTGCAATCCGCATCATTCATTCGTCTTTCGGTAATTTCACGACCATTACCATCTTTTCCAATTATACAAAGGCATCCTTCAAAAAAGATTTGTTCATAAAATTTCATTTAATTCTCAAAAAAAAAAAGAATTTTTATAGAAGAAAATGGAAAAAATTTTCATTGCATTCATCCACTCATTAATCCAACTTTGACCAACAAAGAAAACAATGAATAAGTCCAAATTAAGCGAAAAATTGCTTTTCTTATCATTTTATTTTAAAATGCCCCAAGGCTTATTCTTTTTTTCCAACTTCTTCTAACAGCTCTATCATTACTGGTTAAGCTGACTCCAAGAGTAAGATTTTTCCAAGCGGCGCGGTATGATGACTTCGTCGACAATAATAGAAGCCATTTCTTTGTTCATTGTCTAAGTCCATATATTACTGGACCACTTATGCGTTCAAAATCTTTTCTGACCGTATCAATCCAGGTCTTGATTAGCCCATCTCGCTTTTGACGTCACCCATCACAGAATTTAGCATCATAATAATACAGCCAATACCTCTGCTTCGAGCTAGAATTAGAACTACTCGAGACTCTAAGTGAGGAAGATGGACCTCCAACAAATAGGCATGTGCCCACACGATATTTAGAATGAGTGTGAACAGTGATCACTTGCAACGTCCATAAAAGTTCTGACATTCTACGCTGATACGGCTAATGCCTCGCCGCGTGTGCAGAGGGCTGTTCCTCTTGATAGGTTTCGAGCAATTACCCTGGCTTGAGAGCACATTTTATTTATCAGCATTGGGATCGCCTTATGTCAGGATTGTATGATTATTACATGTATCACCTGGCTGGGAGTATTTTTTTGCAACTAAATAAAAATAATCACGAATTCCATCTCATTTCTCGCTTTAATGGATTAGTTTCACGTGAATTCGCTAGCAACTTTTGAATTTTATAGAATAATTAAACTAAAAATTTTCAAAATGTAAAATAACAACTGTTGAAAGGCGAAATAATTCGAAATCTAAGATAATGTAATGTAATAGTAATGTTAAAGTGAATAAAAAAAAAAAAAAAAACATTTCTAATTACTAATTTTCACTTTCGATTAAGAAAATATGAAAAAAAATTTTTTATTGTAAGGAAAAATGAAAAAAAGGCTAGCTGATTGATGAGAATTCGCCTCGAATTTTATTTCAAAGTAGCCAAAATTTTTAAAAAGCATTTTAATAAATATATGCTTTTTTAATAAGTATTTTGTAATAAAAGACAGATAAACTAGAAATGGTGCGTTAAAAAATTGCAGTGGAATATAATGGAAAATGGTTAATGATCGCCTGAAACCATGGAAAGAGCAATTACCTCGAGGTCTGGGAAAACATCCCTCTTTCAATCCTTGGAATTTTTTATGTAATTCATCGAGCACTTTCGCATAATTAGCTTCTGCTCTTGTACGTATCGAATCGTCCGTTGGTTTAACGTGTAAATTGTCTGAAGGTAGAGGACGACGCCGAATATTCATTTGTTGTGCGGTAGCTGTACCTCGTTTCAATCGCTGTATTATAAAAAATAAAAGTAAGTAAAAAAATAAAATTCTGCAATAAAAGATGATAAATCTTTTTCAAGAAATGAATTTTTATAGGGAAATTCAGCAAAAAGATCAATTATTTTATTAAAATTAATTATATTTAATTTATGCATATTTGATCATTAATTATACCAAAATTTGCCTTAAACAACGATTCATCATCGTTCGTTTATAGCAAAATGTTGGCTGCAAATTTTACAAATATTATTCATATAATGAAATTCAATGAATTTTTTTTTTTTCACTAATTATTTTCTAATTTTTTTTCCTTTTTAGCTTTTAATGGTTTTGATGAAAATTAATTTAAGAAATTGCTTTTAATTATGAAAACTAACCATAGGTAATTTACATTTCGCTTCTTCATTATACGTGGCGACAATTTCACTACCGTTTGAATGCTTTTCATTGCATCTGCATCCACCAGAAGGCTTAGGAAAGCAATTTTCTTTAAAATCACCATATTTCTTTTTAATTTCCTCTGTGACTTTTTGCTTTTGTGATACAGCAACTGAAATTATCTAAGAATATTTCAATGCCTATTAAAATATGCAGAAAGTCTGACATAGATAAGCATTAATATTTATAGCCAACACTGTATAGCTTCTTTTTTTTAAACATTAAACAACACATTTATAGCAGTAATAGTAATAGCGTAAGCCGAGAGTAAATTCATATAGCACAACAGAAATTTATGTATATATATATATATAGTGTTCATTATGGATGGCGTCAAAAATTTCTGGATTGATAAGAGTGGAAAAGATTTCGAATTCCAAACGACCTAGAGATATATAGGTATAGGCGATTTAGAAAAGAATTCTGTTATTTTCAATTATGGCATTGAACTCCTTATAGTCAGTAGAATAAGTAGTAATAAGTAGTAGTCATTGCTTGGTGATTGGTCGATAGCTAAGTGACAAGAAAATTGCCATCAAGAACCGAGGCTTCGAATGCATCGTGCTTCGGGCGAAAATATGGCATTATAAAGAAAGAATAGGCTTGTTGTTCAACTTACAGAGTCGATGTTGAGATTCCATTTTGAGCACGAGTAAATCTGTGCAAAAATTTAGGTGATATTAGCGACTCACCTATGCTTCTATTGTTCTAAGATTCCTATTACCAAAGGATTCCTTGGCATACTTGTGTAGTCCGACTAGTCAGCGAATTTAGGTGAAAAAAAAAAAATTTGTTGATTCCAAGAATTATTGCGATTATTCCATGTACATAACCTTTGCCAATAAACAAATTTATCAATTAATCTTAACCTAAACTATATAAGCTAGTTTGTTTACATTGCAAACTATAATAGCGATTTGCTTTAGGCAAAAGGCAAAATGACAGGAAAATTTTTTTAGCTACAATAATACAATACAAAAAAAAAATAAGGAACTAACTGAACAAGCAATATTTTACGAAAAAATCCTCTTTTTTTTACGAAATTTCATTTTCATGCATAAAAAAATATTCACAAATTTAACTGAGACCTATTATCATAATTAAACTCATAAGTTGATCCATTCCTTCTATTTTATTTCTATAAAAATATGGATGAATAAATTGAAAATCTAAGCAAATTGTTGATACAAAAATCGATTTAAATATAAAAACAAACCATTGTTTGGTATTTTACATTCATCTTCCGAATCGAATTGTCGAACAGTTACATGACCATCGGTAGCTTTAATATTGCATCTGCAACCACCACTTGGACGCGGAAAACAATCTTCTTTAAAATCTCCGTAAGATTGTTTAATAATTGTGCTCACATCTCGTTTTATAGATACACCAGATGGCTTAAAAAAAGAAAATTCATTTGTTACAGTTTTTCTAATTTGTGCGATAAATTTAAATTGGACACATCATAAATTATAAAATATTTATATTCAAAAAATCTTTTAAAATTTAATTTAATTCTATTTAAACTAAAGAAAGTTTCATATTTAGTATAAATATTAATATAAATATAAATATAAATATTTTTATTTTAATATATATTTAATATAAATTAAATTAATTGGCAATGCCTCAGGCTATAAATTAATAGAGCCATCTATGAATCTTTCTTTCTAAACAGTAATAGCTTGAGTCTAAGAAATCGAAACTCCTTGATATAATGATTCGATAACTGATCATAAGCTCGGCCAAAACAATGATAAGATCAACATTCAATTTTAAAACATTTCGAACTTTTTATATATATCATCTTATATATCATCCTTCGAATCCTTATCATATAAAGTAAAATCAACTAATATCTTCATTATTATTAATTTCAAACCTATTTGAGAAAAAATACGTTTAATTTAATCCATTTAAACTATGGTTTGATATAGCTTTGACCAAAAATAAGTCGCTTCCGCTTCGGCTCGATTTTCCTTTATGATTTGCCATTTAAGGGTAAAATTCGCCTAGGATGCTCAGATGCCTAAGATCGCCTAAGGTCCATCGCTATTTTTATTATCAAATGACTTCTGATAAAGCTAATTCATCTTAATAGTGAACTCAACGAGATCAATTGAAGCGGAATAATAAGAAATAAAGAAAAAAAAGTTGAATTTCAATTAGAATATAAATAATATATAAATAATATTAAATTATAAACGTCCAATAATAAAAATAATAATAAATTTTAAAAATTTTAAAAAAAATACCGTTAAAATTACGAAGCGAGCCAATGAAAGAATGAAGAGAAGGCAATTCAACATATTGTGCGATAATCGTGAAAATTAAACTTATTTTAAAGGATCACAGTAAAATTCTCGTTAAAAACTCTCAACCCTCTTTAATATTAACAATTTCTAAATTTTCGATTTCTTCTTTGAAAAATGAAAACAATAGCAATAAAATTATTTCTAAAGATTGTGTTGAACATAAAAACTATTGAAAATTATTCGTGTTCGATCAGTTATCAGAAAAAAAAAAATTCAAAATAGAAAAAAAATTTCTAAACAACAAAAATCAACTAATTTTTTTCAAAAAAAAATATTAAAATTATTATTAATTAAAATTATTAAAAATTTATCATTTTCTCATTTTCTTAAGAATAATTATTCTACAAACAATTGCTTATAATATAACAACGTAGCAATAAATTGGAAAAATCGATATTTTATCATTTTATTATTATTTTATTATTATTAATTGGCGTAAATCTGCTTGAATAGGATATATAGTATCGATATGACAAGTTAAAACTGGAATTCAAAAGAGATTCTAAACGGAAAACAGCCCAGTTCCAGAGATTCTCACCATTACTGGTTAAACTCGCTTCATAACTTGTTTTAGCAGACAAATATACCAGCGAGTCCTTTGGCGATAGAAGTACAGGTGGATCGTCAGCATCACCCAAATTTTTGGACAGATTTACTTCTAGAATAGAACCTCAGCATCAGCGCTCCGTACTGTGCAACAATCCACATTGCGCCATTCTATCCTTCTAAGAGAAAGTGAGTGGGGAAAATAGTGGCACTTAATATTTTTAGAATCGAATCGACTACAAGCATCTCTCGTCTTTAATCCGAAATATTCAAAATCAGAAAAAATTATTGTTTTTTTATCGAATTATAAGTATAAATATGTGGGAAGCATCAAAAAATATTGGGGGAAAATAAAATGAAAATTAACGATTTTCAAAAATCCTTGTAATGTTGGTGATTCGCATATAATTTTATTAGCAAATGAGTTAGCTGGCAAAATTTGACTGATCAGTCCAGTCATAATTTAAACCGAATGAGTCCGACCAAAAGAACCGAGTGAGTCCAACGAACCAGAATCTAAGTCCTCTAACCAGAATTTAAGCCGGATGAGTCCAACCAGAAATGTTGAATGAGTGCTTTTAGAAATAAGAAATAGAATAGAAAACAATTGGTGAATTCATGTTTATTTTTTTAACAACGCTATTGTTAGTCGAAAATATTCATAAGAAAAAGAATATATAAGTCAGTTCGTTAGTTATAATTGATTTCATTTTTGTTATTTTATAATAGTTCAAATGAAAGAATCAAAAAGAAAGATTTAAAAAATATTTTTTTTTAATGATAAAATAGCGAAGATTTCGATTAATTCAATGAAAAGATGTTATTTGAAATTTTTTCAATCGTATTTGCATCGAAATCAATTGAAATATTGCAAAAAAATATATTTATTTTTTGGTATTCACAATTAAAGGCCAACATTTTTATAAATTTACGAAAAATAGGGTGCCTATTTGATATTTCTTATCAATTTCTTATTTTTGTAAATTTACGAAAAATAGGGTGCCTATTTGATATTTCTTATCAATTCTTATCAATTTCCTATTTGGCTAGATTGGCTAATGGGAACGCTGGCAAGAAATTTCCAAGCTACCGATCTGATCACCACATTTGGCAATAATTAAAGCCATTCCATTCTTTTTTATTTTGCAGAATATAAATTCAAATCTATAGAATGGATAATCCGTTGAATGGCATAAAATGTTTAACAACTACTTACTAATTATTCAAAATTGGCTTTAATTTATTTATCTAAGTAATTAATTTTTGGACGCTTTAACCATTTTATTTAATTTCTCAATCTTCTTGATTATATTTTATGATAATTATTCGAATAATTAACGATAATCAAGAAAAATAGATCAAATCAAATTCTTTAAATGATCTATAAATTCACTACAATATTTTAAAAAAAAAGGTATAAAATCAAGGATATATTTTCTATTAACAGCTGTTACGATTTTTATCATTGAACATATCGGTATCGATTTTATTGTATATTTTTAAAAAATATTAAAATATTTTTATATTTTATTAGATCATTTTAACTTTTTTCAGTTTTTAAATTTATTATAATTATTAACAAATTAATAATGAATTATCTACGATGAACTAGGAAATTAAAATATTTTATGCAAAAAAAGTGCAAATAAAAAATATTGTAGCTAATTTTATTTTAAATGATCGACAATTTTAAATGGTTAATATTAAAATTTAAAATTACTTTTATTTATTATTTTACTTTTGTTTTATTCTTTCTAATAAATAGTTTTCTGGCTTAATTAGCTTGAAAATAGAAGTATAATCAATCTCAATCAAATGGATTTCATTCTTAATGAAGAAATGATTTTTTATTACTTTACCATTAGTATATAAAATTGTTTTATCGCGAAAAACTGGAATTTGTTGGGAATTTAAAAAAAAAAATTTTATTTGCAATTTTTCTCACTATAATTTTATTTCGAATCTCTTTTCCTAATTTTATTCTTATCCCATCTATTCTATAAGTTTAATTAATTTTTTCTATACTTTTTTTTTTAAAAGAGCACTCACCATTACTGATTAGACTCGTTGGTCTTTCTTATCGCACTAGGCAAATATTCCTTGGCAATACCAGTTAGGTTAGTCACGGGTATCACCCTGTAATTTTGAATAGCTTTAATTTTTCTGCGGGGAGTAGGACCTCAGCATCGACACTTCGAATTGAACAACAATCCACTGCACCATTCTACTCCACTTTATTCTTCTCCCTTAGGTGACATTCCCATAGCGTTTACATTATTTATATTCTAAAAAATGAAAAACAATAATGAAAATTAAAATTTATATAAAAAATTTGTATCTCATATTGAAAAATTGTTTAAACGAAATTTTCAATCACTTTAAATTCGATTATTATTGCATTTTTAAAAAAAACCTTTGAAAATTTTCTTTTATCTTTGAATGCACTTTTCTCGTTTCCTAATTTTATAGGAATAGCGACTAGTTTTGCCTACTTCATTTATCATTTATTTTGAATAATTCGATGAACAGATGCTCGAAATGCAAAAATGCTTTCTAAAATTTCTATGCCATCTTCTCTAATCACTCTTATTTTATTTGCTATAATTTTTTTTTTGTTGTACTCAACAAAATTCCATTTCTTTATTATTATAAAATTTCATTGAATTTAAAAAAATGGAGATTGTAAAAGTTTTATAAATTTATTGTTAAAAACTTTTTTATTATAAAATAAATTACAAATAAATTATTATAAAATAAACAGAAACAGAAGTTTTAAATAAATTTAAAAAAGGTGATAAATGTTAATCGCTTTTGATAAGATTCGATTAACCTTTTTGTTATTGCGATTAGAAATTTTTGCTAGAAAATCGGTCGACTAAAAATTCAAGTGCAGATGGTTCCAAAGCATCACGTAAATCAGGTTATTCATTTAGAAGATAGATAGGATTCGAACTCGAACCATGGTGAATGAAACGGTAATCCAAGCAAAATTCACTCATTAGTTTGCATAAACTTATTTAAATTTTATGCAAAATAATTTTTTTATTTAGCTGGCTCCATTGATGGTTTATTTATGATTATCCAGTGCAAATTTCAGTCCTATTAACGAATGCAAGGAATAGATTGGAAATTTTAAGCCGGATGAAGCAGTAGAATAGCTCTATTATTTTGTTGAAAATAGCACAAAATGTATAAATTTCCTTGATTTGCCCAGCTGATTTTATATTCTTTTATAAAAAACTCGAATAACTAACCAACTGCCATATTAAAGCGACAAAACTAAGTAAACATTAAATGAAAACGAGCCAACCGATCCTATTCATTGATCTCGAGTAAAAAAGTCTTTTCGTCAGATTTTTTATCTTTAATAGTTTGTTTTATTTCTTTATTTGTATTTTTATAAGTTTTAAGATTTTTTAAAATTTATCATTCTTAATTCCGGTAGATCGATTAGTAAATAAATAAATGAAAATTAAATCAAATTCTCTTAATAAATTCGCATTAATAAAGAAAATTTCAAGATTATTATTCTTTTGCTTATTTAATTATCATTATACATTTATTACCAA